TGGATTTTGTTTTGTTTTCTGTTTTCTTTTTCTCTCTCCTCACTAGTTTAAGCAATCTCTCTGCTCTGCAAGAATTTGCCCAGTCATACCTGAAGGTGCTGAATAGGGGCTGAACCAAGAACCATACGTGCATAAAACAGATGAGAAAAAAGATACATAGAACTAAGTTTGTCTCTACCTGCTCGGCAGCTTCTTTCAGTATTCTGTCATGGTTTCCAGCAACAATAGTCCAATATGATGGATTATTTGTTCTAAAAAAGGAAGTGCTCTATTGCTGTTAAATCATGTTTTTATGTAACTGAAAAATGTCAACAAAAATGTATTTTAACTTTCAATTTAACTTATTTAATTTAACTTGTTCCTGCAACAAATCCCAGGAATGTTTGTGTGAAAGCTGAGATGTCTTCATTATATTCATAACCACTCTGCAGAATGAATTAAATTGCAGAGATGATCCAAAATGTTTCAGGACCCTGCAGAAGCTGAAGCATAATAGTATTCTTCCCAGGTCTAAACTCAATCATCATCATCATCTAACGGCCCTATAATCCCTTGCGGGTGGAGTCTGGGCAACTGAATGGAGTTAGCAGAGCGTTTAATGGACGGATGCCCTTCCTGTTGCCAATGCAGAGTTATATTCAGCAGATATATTCTCAGTGTGCCCAGGGAGAGAAATATCTGCCTAGGATCGAAGTCGCAGCCTTTTGATTGTGAGGCCGAGAGCTCCACCTCTAGGCTACTGCACCACTCTCCAGGTCTAAATTCAATCTTATCTACTTTATTCCAAATAACCAGCATCTACAAAAGGCTACTTTGCCCAGCTTAACATCTTACATCTGTACTTACATCTTTACACAGTGAGCGGCTGTGAGTACCCAAGTTGAATTGATGACGGCACCTCCACACCTATAATCACCCAGAAAGTGCAAACTCACTTGCCAGGGCCAGCAGTGAGGACAAGCTTCTTCTCCCCCAATGATATGTGTTGACAGCCTCTGAGGACCAAAGGGGGGGAAACCACAGATATCTGCAGCAAAAGGAGGAGAAGAGGAACCAAATGCTAGAGGATATTCAGGAGTGTTCAATAATGTGTTGCCTGGCAAGTGAAGTTTCAAGTTTTTATAATCATCATTTGTCCTCCCATAGATCTAGAACCATGATGGCGAACCTATGGCACGCAGAACCATTTGTGCCGGCACATGAGCTGCAGGCAAACTTACCTCACTGCACATGCACATGCCTCACGGCTGATTTTCGGCCAGTTTGAGGCCTTTTCCGGCCTCCCAGAGGCTTCAGGAAGGCTTCTACAGGCTTCTGCAGGCTTTTCAGGCCGAAAACTAAGCCCGTTTCATCACTTCCTGTTTTTCTGGAAATACCAGAAGTGACAAAACAGGCCTAGTTTTCAGCCTGAAAAGCCTGCAGAAGCCTGCAGAAGCCTTTGGGAGGCCGAAAAAGGCCTCGAACCGGCCGAAAATCAGCTGTGAGGCGCAGTGCAGGTAAGGGGGAGGCAGGGGTGGGTGGGTGAGGATTGTGTGCACATGTGTAGTGGGTGTGGGGGAGGCGCATTGCCTTCTGAGTGCTGGCACGTGAGCATGAGCAACAATTTTTGGCACAGGAGCCCAAAAAGGTTAGCTACCACTGATCTAGAACATATGTTTATGTTCATATGATAACATTTTGCATTTAACGAAGCATATCAGACTTAAAGGATCCAGGCTTAGCTACTTTTGTCCATACAAAACTTAGAGCGCCTTAGAATTTCTCTAGCAGTCTTTGCCAAATGCAAAAACGAAACATTTCAAATGTAATCATTACAGCCACTGCACATTTTATGTTCCTAATGGGCAACCCTAGAATCCATAAACCTTCAGGCATGAAACAACAGACAACTCAAATGGGAATGTTTCCAGACAGACAAATTTTGGCGTTATCTGTCAAAAGATATTGTAAAGTTAATTACTCTTTTTCTTAATAGCTTCTTTATATGCACAGAAGACAGCAATAATGATAGGAAGATTCAGCAGAGTTAGAAGGGGAAACGTTACAAGTTACAACCTGGAGTTTTCCCAATTCCCGTATCATTTTATGAATGAAGAATAAAGCAGACTGATGTTATAATAACAACACCGAAAGGAAATGCCTAAGTCAAATTAAAGGTAGGGCTGCTGGGCTTTAGTAATCTTTTCCTTTTCATATTCAGGTTGTTTCCTAGGAAATCCAAGAGCAGAGCTATAATTAATCCTTGAGGAACTTGCTTACCCAGTGGGATGTCTTTTGGTTCAAAAGCAGATATAGAGAGTACACCTTCATATTCAGCATTAGATGTTGCTGTAAAAAAGAAATGAAGTTTTCGTTCAGCAAAAACTTATTTCTCAACCATTCAACACAAAAGAGTCAAATTTACCCAGTTCAGTATTCATTGCTCCCCTCATAGAACTTATTCCTATTTTTCTGATCCTCTCTTCTCTGGGATCTTATACATACATACATACATACATACATACATACATACATACATACATA